GACTCGTCCTACTTATACAAGTCAAGAAAAGCTCGTCGTCTCGTCCTACTTATACAAGTCAAGATGAACTCTTCAGCATTGACAAATCGTGGTAAGCTCGCCTTTNTTTAACAAGAGGGCGATGTAGTGAGCTCGCCAATATTAACAGAGCGATTTGAGCTCGCCATTTCTAATGAAACAAGCCGAGTCNGCCCCGCATTCCGAGTTATGGTAACCAAATCAGATTAAGCTCGCCAATTCCAACAGAAACCGGAGGGAGAGCTCGGCATCAATTTCAACACGACATTGCGTATGCATGTACATCAATCTTTAGTTCGACATTATCATAACTGATAATATCGAACTGGAGGGCTAACTGTTGGGGTCAAAACTCCCCTCGGCTGAAATTGCAATGACAATGACTGAGTGTTATTTTAGAGGCAAGCTCACTAAGTCAACGATTTAGTGGCAAGCTGACTAAGTCAACATCTTAGTGGAAAGCTAACTGGGCCGACGAATCAGTAGCGAGCCAATTTGATTGGAGAGCTGAGTTAAGCATGCACAATTTGGGCCAAGTTCAAGCTGTACAAAAGTAACGGCGAGTCCGAGACCAGCTGTGACGATTTGACGAGCCGAACGGTGACAAGGCCCAAGATAGGAGACNGAGAGGTCAAGCCCAAGAATAGTATGCGACGGGCCCAGAGCCCACGCAGACGAAGCCCTAAACAAGACCGACTTCGATAAAAGGAAATCCCGAGAAATTAGGGATCTTTCCTTATCTCNGTAGGGTTTGGCCTAGCCGACCGAAACTTGTATATATGCTCTTGTGATTCCTCTGTGAAAGGGGGGCAACTGACTGCAAAATTATTCTAGACAAATTAATAAAGCTTTCTCTTAACAGCAATCTCATCTTGTTCTGGTGGTTCTAACTCAGAGATCTCAGCTTTCCTCTAAAAACCCTTACAAATTCAATTGTGTTGGTTTCACCTTCCACAGCCTCCGCGGCCGCGATTTCAAACAAATCTCTGATTTTTTTTTAATTAATGATGAATGGTATTTTCGTAATAAAAACTTTATACTAAACTTTATATGTCTTTTAGAACCTTTGTTGCGTATTAAAATTGAATAAAAGTTATTTTAGTAATTAAGTTACTTTCTAAAGTTGTTTTACTAATTATCTCTATATTTTATGGTTGAGCTTATTTATTATTTCCCAAATATTTATATCAGGCTTTAGTTTCAGAGGAAGACTATGCTCCACTTCTTTCTTGAAAGCTTCTGAATCACAGTAAAAGCTCACGCCTAAACCTCAAATTTACTAGAAAATGTAAAAATACATTTCAACTCAAACGTACCAAATTATCTTGATATTCACTATCCGAAGGACACAACTAAAGCAATTTGCCATTTTCGGACAGTTTAAACATGAAAATGCCTCCGAGTTTTTGTCCATTGACCAAGATTACATGG